GGGGGTGATCTCCATATTAATGGCCAGGGCTTGAAAAGGGATATCCAATAAATGCATGGACAGTTTGTGGACACCTGTGATGGTCAGGTGTCCACAACCTTTGGTCATATAGTGTTGGTTATTAATGCCAGTAACATACAAAGTGGTAACGCTCATCCACCTAAATATGTAGTGATAGCAGTAATCAAATAAGTTGCAGAATGCTTAAAGTTTATCTCCAGCCAAAACGGTTTTCTAAGTCCTGAACAGACTGAAGAAAGTGTTAGAACTTTTGTCAGGTTTACACCACTGCCTGGGGCTCTATCAGGGAGGTTTCATTTCAACCGTTGTCACCAGGCCAGGAAATGAGGGAAATCCAAATGGGACATGTCTTCTTTAATCGCAAGCACCAAGGAGTGCTAAACACACGCAGTAAAAGTAAAGAACAGTGTTTTATTGATTCCACAATTATCAGGAAGATGACAAGTGACCGCCAGAGACTTTGCCTGCAAAGCTGTCCATCAATGACACCCAATGACTACCTGTTTTTTTATCTTTGATTCACACCCGCAGGCTCCTGAGTTAGAAACCTCCTGTGTGCGTGCCAGAAATTGATCAAGCCTCGATGAAGGGGGATTATTGAGCCCTCAAAATGCAATGGTTCTCTCTTGTCATCTTACTGACAATAGAGGAATCTATAAAATACTGTTCTGGACTCTTAATAGTGGTCTTGGTGCTCCCTATTGCTTCTCTACAGATTTCTCAAACTGGATGATACCTGGATTCAGGGAAAACCCTGTTTCCATGGGCAACTGCTGAAACCAGGCCATTGGGCCAAAACAGAGACTCCACTAACTACTTAGAAGCCAATGCCTTGCCCTCACCACTGCTTAGGTCTCCTTTAACCTCCCTGGCGGTATGATTGTTATTTTTTTCATGTCATTTTTCGGTCTATTTTTTTTGTCGTTTTTTTTTTCAATATCCCGCCGGTTCCGCCCCCATGCGACGCGTACGCTCGCAAGGGACGGAACCCATCATCGGCCGCAGAACACAGCGCGGCTCGAGGGACAAGTAAATGCTATGCGGCTTTCCCGAGTGTAGCTCGGGGTTACCGCTTATGGTATGGAAAAGTAACCCCGAGCTACACTCGGGAATACCGCCAGGGAGGTTAAAAAGGAGCCCATATTCCTACTTCAGGGATTTACGGCTTCATACCCATAAAGAAACCCTGCATTGGTTCCAAACCTGATGTTTATATTTTACCAATAAAAAGGAAAGTGAATGATGATAGCAACAGGTGTCATCTTTAAGCAGAACTCCAGCCAAATACCGCAGTCTCAAGATGTCAATTACATATATGTACTCTCTGTTATAGCTGCAAGCATGCTCTATGTGCATTACCCACCTGACCCTTCCCCGTGCCCTATGTGCATTACCCACCTGACCCTTCCCCGTGCTCTATGTGCATTACCCACCTGACCCTTCCCCGTGCCCTATGTGCATTACCCACCTGACCCTTCCCCGTGCCCTATGTGCATTACCCACCTGACCCTTCCCCGTGCTCTATGTGCATTACCCACCTGACCCTTCCCCGTGCTCTATGTGCATTACCCACCTGACCCTTCCCCGTGCTTTATGTGCATTAACCACCCGACCCTTCCCCGTGCTCTATGTGCATTACCCACCTGACCCTTCCCCGTGCCCTATGTGCATTAACCACCTGACCGTTCCCCGTGCTTTATGTGCATTAACCACCTGACTCTTCCGCATGTTTTATGTGCATGACTCATCTGACACTTCCCCGTGCTCTATGTACATTACCCACCTGACCCTTTCCTGTGTTCTATATGTGCATTACCTACATGACCCTTCCCCATCCCTTATGTGCATTACCCACCTGACCCTTCCCTAGTGATAAAAAATGGTTTTAACCATCTGATAGGTAACTTTAGGAAAAACAAGAAACAGCTGCTGAAGATTTGCCTCCTTAGCCACCACCTCTCCTCTACCAGCCTGCTCATTGGCCATTGAGACGTCAGCAGGACATTGAAGGGGGTCATCACACTGCTACTCTCCAGTAAGTGTGTTAACAGCGTTAGACTGACAGCTGACAGAGAAAATGGAGTGCACTGTCTGGCCCACAGTGCAGCTCCTCTCTCTTTTGGTTTAATATCTGCCTGGAGTACATGAAAACCTCTTCAAAGTTCATACAAGGAACAGACATCCGACAATATGATTCAACTCTTACCGCCTGTCGTTTCTTTTCCTCCGGAATAACTTTTTGGTGTGTGCGATCTCTGCTTCGTGAGGCAGCGGGTGATATCCCTGGGTAGAGGGTAGACAGAAAGAGACAGCAATTAATCTTCTGTGAAACTTTGTTGAAGAACAACATGCCCTACGGTGACACCGGCATCAATAGTCTGTATGTTGCGATGAGAAAAACATGCGAAGGTCAAAACGTAAAGATTCAATGGGGAAAAAAGACGGCACTCATGACATAAAGATCTTGTGAGGACGCGCAATTATTAGGTTACCAAGGTAACCAAGGACAGTTCACCTCGGCGATCAACTTCCCTCTTAAGCTTATGAAAGGAATTACAATCTCTGCGGCTGTATTACGCACACAATGTAATGGCTTTAGAATCTACAAACAACAGACGTGTACTGTATATTGGACAATGCCGCGCGGTTCAACTTCAGCTCTCGTACCCGTATACCCCCTTATGGACCAGAACAATTTCTATTCAATTTATTCAGAGAAAACTTTGTCATTACTCATGATATAAACCATATAGAAACATGGTTTGAGGACAAACTAGGCTTTCTTTAGGCAAACATGTATTGCAAACATTACGGATGCACCAATACCGGTTTCTCTGCATCGAGTACGGGTACCAATATTGTTGTTTTTAAATCAATACTCGCTGATAGAGAGTACCTATGCGAGGTAGCGTGGGCCCAGCTTCCTGCTCCCTTGCAACATCGCAGGGCAGTCTGGGTTACTGACCGATCAGGAATTGGTCAGGGTGCCTGGCTACCCCGCAGTGTCGCTAGGCAGTGGAAACCTGGCTTCCCAGCCAATCAGGAAGCAGGTCTTGACCTGCCGCCTGGCTTCTCGACTGGCCAGGAAGGGGCTCCATGCTCCCTCGCGGCACTGGTCGGAGAGAATCTCCGCAATGCTGAGCTTTCCAGTGCAGTGCGACCGCAAAAAATTGTGCATGCAGTTTGATTCTGAAGTAAACATTATGTTTGTAACACTGCATTGGTGTATTTTATTTTAATTTAAGGATGGTATTTGTTGAATTTTTTTTATCCGATTAATAGAAAAAAGAATCGACTAACTATGAAAATAATAATTAGTTGCAGCCTTACTTTGATCTGATGTGCAGTGCAATGCGCAAGGTAACCCATAGAAAGAAACAATTATTTTAGTGTACTAATTGCTCTTAAATGACACCATGACTGACGGATACCGAGGCCGCCATTGGGGACCTGAAAATGCCAGCTGGCTGTGACTTTAATGCTCGGAGTTGCTTACCTGGTAAAAGGGGTGCAGCCAGTCTTAACATTAGATCAGTGGGCTATTTCCAGGTCAGTAAGTATAAAAGCCACTGGATTAGGATGAGAACTAGACAACAAGCATTTGAAAGAAGAGAAAACCAGCAGTAACAGCTTGCATACTTCTCTCAGCACAGGTTTGCTTTAAAGCCTTGGTGACCCAAAAGTGGGGCGCAACTTCGCGTTCAGTGGGTCGCCACATGTCTTCCACTTTTCTAGGCGAGAGGCTCCTCTGCCTCCCCAGAGTGTAGCACTGTCAGTTCTTGCACCAAGCAGACATTCAAAATATGCTGCCCGGCGCCAAGTGTCAGCTTGAGGTGGGCTGGGGCTATGGCCGCGTGGGAGCTCCATCCATACGTGCATTGCTTACAGCTCCCTCACGTGTCCTGTAGAGGTGCCTGGATTGGAGTGACGTTACATTCTGGCTCCCGCCTCCTCTACAGGGCGCGCAAGGGAGATGTACAAACAATGCACGTATGGATGGAGTTCCGTCACAGCACAGCAACCCACACTGGACCCCAGTTCTTGTAAAGTCTGGGTGGACCTTAAATTAAAAAAAATGTTTTTTTGGAGTGTGTATGTGTGAGAACGTCTGTCAGTGTGTGAGATTGTGTCTGTGGTTGTGTGTGTATGTATGTCAGTGTTTTTTAGGGCCCGTTCACACTAGTACAGTGCGTTATCAAGTAGTACTGTGTGACTAATGCACTTTGCCACGAGATCGCACCTACCGTGCATTCTGGTCTGGAAGGTGTGTTGCGTTGCCATTCATTTGAATGGTATCCCAAATGTACCTCCGACCCACATGGTATCCCAAATGTACCTCCCACCCACATGGTATCCCAAATGTACCTCCGACCCACATGGTATCCCAAATGTACCTCCCACCCACATGGTATCCCAAATGCACCTATCCACCTTTGTACGCTTGCACCATTACACACGGTACCCTAATGTCTACATTTCATTGCGACTTGGGTCGCGACTTAATGACCGAGGACAAATGTGGGTCCTGAGGTTACACAGGTTGAGAACCACTGCTTTAAAGAGTATGTATAGCCAAAATGTTTTGGTTTTGGATTGAGCCTGGAAGAGTTAGTAGCCCTGTTATTCGCTCCTGACCAGCTGGAGAGACTTCCCTTCACTTAGCCCTAATATACCCTAAATAAAAACCTCAAAAACCAAAATCCAATGCTTTTCTATCATGCCTGTTCACTTATGTGCAGCTCAACACCTGATGCTAAATAAGGTATGCAAGCTACTTTTGAAGCAGAATGGGGAATTTTTGTCCCCATAGACTTAACTTGAGTGCCTGATAAAGCCTGAAAATGAGTGTTTTTAAAGTCTAAACAACAATTTCTTCCTAGTCCTAGTAACTAGTATTCCAACGGCTAAAATAAAAATGCTGAAACCTCAAATGCCTGAAATATGTGAAAAAAAACAGGCACGCACACACGCTCCCAAATCACACATAAATGCCACGCCATTGAAGCAGATGATAACCCATCACACGCCTAACCTGTATGTCCCGGTTGTCTCTCAGCGGGTGCTGTAGTGACAAGTGAATGGTGCTGCCGAACATAATGGGGGACATCTGTTTGTTGACTCCTAAGACCCCATTCACGCTGAGCTGCAAGCTTTTTTAGCGCTTATTTGAGCTGATCAACTTTGAGCTCCATTGAGCTACAGTGCACATTTTGTTGCACTAGGTAGCGCTTCTTTTCTATCAAAGTCTATTGGGCCAAATCGCTTGAAAACTGCCGGAAAATAGCTCATGTTCGAGCGACAAGCTACAGGCGACATTGAGCTGTGAGATGTGAACATCTCCATTGACATGTATTGGAAGAGCTACCTTGAGCTTCATATTTGAGCGATTTGTGAGCAGAAATTGCGCTACAAAACGCTCAGTGCTTCGGTTTCATCTGGCGTAGAGAGTAAGTCACCAGCACACCAAAAACGAATTGCGGTAATCGACCGCACGTATTTTCGTTTGCTCATGGGCAGTGTTAATTGTACGAATTTTGACGTACGGAAACGCCACCAACCTTGCGAAAATCGTACGATCAACCGAAGTTTTCTAACCTGCTGGTTAGTCAAAAGTCGATCAATTGTACAGTATTTGCGGTTGTACACTGCCCATCAACATTAAGAATATCGGACGAAAACGCTATTGAATACGAAAATCGGCCTATAATCGTAAGGTGTATGGGCACCTTAAGGGCCCATTTACACCACATCCAGATTACCTCCAGACCAGACAGTTTCTGGACCCAAACTGCATCCCAATGTATCCATATGGTATTTCTGCCCTCTGTTCACACCAGCGCAGTCCGTTCCAGACCAAATACTGCTTGTCCTATTTTGCCTGGTCTGGAACGCACCAGTAGGACCATTTTAAGCTAAAAAGAAAAAATTCAGATTAGAAGCAAAATCGCAATGCACTATGTTCCAGATCTGGTCCGGAAAATGGTGTGAACCCAGCTAAAGCAAACAGAAGTCCCCATAGAAATACCGTCCTTCTTATCCCTGTTCTGGTGATAATTCACAATTTTGGATTTCATAATCTGTCTTGGAAACAATAGTCAACAGGACAAATAGAGGGTAAATCACGGACAGCACAACACATTCATATTCTAGTAAAAACTAAAAAAAACTTTGCTAAAAAGGTGAAATTTGATTGGCTTCATTAGCACCCGTTATTGCTGCCTGCGCGGTCCCTCCAGGGATTATGACGTGGTTGGGTTCAGAAGGGTAAAGGGTGCTTTGGATGCGTTCTTCTCTGCCATTAACATTCTACACACTTTACATCCTGACCTTCCGATCTTCATCCCCAGATTGCAAAATATCTTCTTTTACTGCCTCTGAAGATATTGCCAACTAATGAAAAAGCAATTATCGTTAAGACTTCCTAGCAGAGCGCACCACGTTAAAAAAGATCATCCGGCGATACAAAAGGCCCGTCAGATGAAGAGAAGCAACACTTACAACATTAAAGGGTCTGCTTTTAGTTACCGCAGAAAACTTTGGACTCGGGACAGACGCAGCTCATTAAAAAGGCCTATTG